CACCAGAGCCTCCACCGCCGCCACCGGTCCCACCGCCGCCACCACCTCCACCGCCTCCACCTCCTCTACCGCTGCCCCCACTACCGCTCCCACTGCCACCTCCACCACCACCGCTGCCTCCTCCACTACCCCGGCCACCCTTGCCCTTGCTGTTGCGGCGCTTCGCACTAGTCGAAGCAGCACCGACGTCCTCAGGAACAGAGACGTCTGCAGCAGCAGCAGAGGCGAAGGAGGAGGAAAGGGGGGAGGGGGAGCACCCCTCAAAGAAGGGTGAGCGCGGAGTGCCACGAGCAGCACCTACAGCAACTACACTAGTCTCAGCTGCGAGGAGATGCTGCTCGAGGAGGTCAACAGTGAGGGAGGTGGGGTCGAGGGTGAGGAAGTGGTCCCTGATAGAGCGAAGGGAGTCAGGGAGGCGAGTGACTATGAAGTAGAGGGTGATGAACATGGGGGGCTGGTTCGTGGGAAGGAACTCAGCAGGGACGGCAGCGCGGTAGCGAGCGTCGCTAGTGCGCAGGTGGCTAACCAGGTCCGCTACTGTGGCAAAAGCCGAGAGCTCAGGGAACAGGTAGGGCAGTAGCAGCCTGCCAATAGCAGCAGTGGCAGGGGAGGAGTAGCGAGCAACGACAGCGTCGTACCAGGGCTGTGCTGTCCTGTGCTTTCCAAAGTGAGCACATTCGGTCGCGGGCAGGTGGTTGTGAATGGCCAAGCGGGCTGTAGCGTCACGAGACATCCACTGGGAACGAGTCGAAACGTCAGCTATGGCGGGAGGGGCTGGAGCGGCACCGGAAATAGTGAGAAACTTTCCTTACTATCGCTCAGTAGGTACAGTTGCAGATCGTCGTGCCACGTGTCAAATGCTGCAGGTTTGCCCTCCGGGTCGAACGGGAGAACTCTAAGCGACGCCATAGTGGCACAGGACTCAGGAGCAGCAGTAGCAGTAGGTAAGGGGCCAAGGGGCCAAACAAGAGGGCCAAGGGGCCGATGGGCTGAGGGGCCTAGGGGGGGCCAAGAGGCCTAGGGGGCCGACGTGCCAAACAAGAGGGCCGAGGGGCCAAACACGAGGGCCGAGGAGGCGGGGCCGAGGGGCCAAACAGGGGGCCGGGCGCTGGGCAGGTACGAGGCCGAGGGGCCTAGGGGGCCGAGGAGGCTGGGCCTAGGGGGGGCCGAGGGGCCAAACAAGGGGCCGGGCGCGGGCTAGGTACGGGGCCGAGCGCTGGGCTCTGAACTAGGGCCGAGGGGCCAAACAAGAGGGCCAAGGTGGCCGAGAGGCCTAGGGGGGGCCGAGGGGCCAAACACAAGGGCTGAGGGGCCAAGCCTAGGGGCCGAGGGGCGGGGCCGAGGGGCCAAACAAGGGGCCGGGCGTGGGCTAGGTACGGGGCCGAGGGGCCTAAGAGGGGGGGGGGGGCAAGGAGGCCGAGCCTAGGGGCCGAGGAGGCCGAGCCTAGGGGCCGAGGCTAGGGGCCGAGGGGCCTAGGGGCAGGGCCGAGGGGCCAAACAGGAAACGGGGCCGAGGGGCCAAACAAGGTACGGGGCCAGGCGCTGGGCAGGTACGGGGCCGGGGGGCCGATGGGCCGAGGGGCCTAGGGGGGCCGAGAGGCCTAGGGGGCCGAAGGGCCAAACACGAGGGGCCGGGCGCTGGGCAGGTACGGGGCCGAGGGGCCAAACAAGGAACGGGGCCGAGGGGCCAAACAAGGTACGGGGCCGGGCGCTGGGCAGGTACTGGGCCGGGCACAGGCTGGGTACGGGGCCGAGGGGCCAATGGGCCGAGGGGCCTAGGGGGGGGTTCGAGAGGCCTAGGGGCCGAGGGGCCGAGGGGCGGGGCCGAGGGGCCAAACAAGGGGGGCCGGGCGCGGGCTAGGTACGGGGCCGGGCACGGGCTAGGTGTGGGGCCGGGTGCGGGCTAGGTACGGGGCCGGGCGCTGGGCAGGAACGGGGCCGGGCGCTGGGCTTGAACTGGGGCCGAGGGGCCAAACACGGGGCCGGGCGCTGGGCGAAGGACAAGGCCGGGCGCGGGTGTCGACGGGCCGGTGCTAGGTACGGGGCCGGGCGCTGGCGTCGACGGGCGCGGGCTAGGGAAGGGGCCGGGCGCGGGGCTAGGTACGGGGCCGGGCGCTGGGCTAGGAATGGGGCCGAGCGAGGGCTAGGTACAAGGCCAGGCGCGGGTGTCGACGGGGTGCGGGCTAGGTACGGGGCCAGGCACGGGTGTCGACAGGGCGCGGGCTAGGTACGGGGCCAGGTCGCGGGCTAGGTACGGGCCGGTCGCGGGCGTCGACGGGGCGCGGGCTAGGTACGGGGCCGGGCGCGGGTGTTGACGGGGCGATCGCGGGCTAGGTACGGGGCCGGGTCGCGGGCTAGGTACGGGCCGGTCGCGGGCATCGACGGGGCGTGGGCTAGGTACGGGGCCGGGCGCGGGTGTCGACGCGGCGATCGCGGGCTAGGTACGCGCCAGGCGCGGGCGTGAGAAAGGGCCGAGCGCGGGCTAGGTACGGGCCTATCGCGGGCGAGGTACGGGCCGGGCGCGGGGCTAGGAATGAAGTAGCAGGTGGTGGGCCCAATAGTAACCTATTCTGATTCCATGTGAGAATAAGTGACGAGAATGGTTGATTAGGTGAAAGGGGGGGGTACAAGTAGAATGTTGAGAGAAATTCTGTACCCTCTAAGGCTAAACCCACTACATCCTAGAGATAGATAAACACAAATGTTTGACACGTCTGACCTTGCTCGTGCGTCCAGTTCGACTGTTACTCACTTTCTTGCTACGGTTGTGACGGATCCTACGCTCTCGTCTCCTGCTGTGTCTGCCTTAGTCGCTGAGCTAGTTGACTTAGCTGCTGCATAATGACTAGACTACCTTTCGAGTCTCGTTTCTGACCCTGACCCTGCCTGTCCTCCGTTCGTCGGGGGTGAGGTTGCCCTTGGCTGTGACGTTCTTGAGGACAGGCAGGAGGAGCTGGAGTGCCTTGCGGCCGCTGCACCTCATCTCGCGACCATGCTGCTTGCCCCTGAGGGAGACCCGGATGCATTGGACATCCCCACCCCGCGCTCTTATAGAGAGGCGATCTCGAGTGAGTACTCCTCTCAGTGGCAGACAGCCATGGACGCAGAGATGGCTTCATGGAAGTCTACAGGCACCTACGTCGACGAGGTTCCCCCACCTGAGGCGAACATCGTCAGTGGCATGTAGATTTTCAGGGTGAAGTGGCCGCCGGGTTCTCCGCCTGCCTTGAAGGCGCGTTACGTTGCTCGAGGCTTCAGTCAGCGACAGGGGGTTGACTTCTTTTAGACCTTCTCCCCTACCCCAAAGATGACCACTCTTCGAGTGTTGCTACATGTTGCAGCTCAGCGTGACTACGAGCTGCACTCTCTCGACTTCTCCACAGCTTTCTTGCAGGGTAGCCTTCACGAGGCCATCTGGCTGCGCCGTCCACCTGGCTTCACTGGGTCGTTTCCTGCAGGTACCCAGTGGAGCCTACGGCGACCAGTTTACGAACTGCGTCAGGCGCCCCGCGAGTGGCACGACACACTGAGGACTACACTTGCGGCTCTTGGGTTTGCTCCTTCGACTGCTGACCCGTCGCTGTTTGTGCGCACCGACACTACCTTGCCGTTGTTCTACATTCTCGTGTACGTCGACGACTTGGTTTTTGCTACTGCTGACACGGAGGCGCTGGCTCTAGTGAAGGCGAAGCTGCAAGAGAGACACACCTGCACTGACCTGGGTGAGCTGCGGAGCTATCTTGGCCTGCAGATCACCCGGGACAGAGCACGGCGCACCATCACCCTGACTCAGTCACACATGGTGCACCAGGTCCTTTAGCGCTTCGGCTTCCAGTTTTCCTCGCCACAGCCCACTCCTCTGTCTACTAGCCACTCGCTCTCAGCTCCACCTTTGGACGAGTCTGTAGAGCCGAGTGGTCCGTTCCCAGAGCTTGTGGGTTGCCTCATGTACCTGATGACTTGCACGCGACCTGACCTTGCGCACCCTCCCGGTCGACACCGAAAGGTGCACTGGGATGCTGCGAAGAGGGTACTGCGTTACTTGTGCAGTACATAAGGCATGGAGCTCGTGTTTGGAGGACGGGGCCTAGTGGTACTCACAGGACACTCCGACGAGTCTTGGGCCGACGACCAGGCGACTCAGCGTTCATCACAGGGTTACAACTTCACTCTTGGCTCTTGATCTGACTCGTGGAGGTGTGCTTGGATCCAGCTGTGAGGCCGAGATCTACGCTAGGGCCATGGCTGCACAGGAGCTACGCTGGCTGACCTACCTGTTGACCGACTTGGGGGAGCGGCCTCGTTCTCCTCAAGTTCTGTACGTCAACAACAAGGCAATGCTTGCCTTGTGTCACGAGCAGAGACTGGAGCACAAAAAGAAACACATTGCTCTTCGCCACTTTCTTGCTCGAGAGCTACAGCAGCATCGTCAGTTTCGCCTTTCCTACGTGGCCTCGTGGGCCAACACTGCTGATGTGTTCACCAAGGCCCTTTGGTCTGGTGATCATCAGTGTTTCTGCACTGCTCTTGGGCTTGTGCCCACTCTGGCTCACCTGCTTGTCTCTTGATCTTGCTCTTGTTGTACACTGATATATATGAGTATACCTGCATGCTTACACTTGCTAGGTTGTGATATGTGTACTGCTCTTTCTATTATAAACTCTGCATGTGAACTGGCCTTGTGGCCACTTGCTTGTGCTCGGAATGCGTGGTGATCTTGAGATCCACCCAGAGCTTTGCTTTGCTTTGCTTCTTCTCTTGACTGGTCTTGTGACCATTGCTTGCTCTGGCTGTCCCCCACTTCGCCTATGGGGGTGTGTCAAACATTATATGTTTATCTTGTACTAGGCTCTAGTGGGTTTAGCCTTAGGGGGTACACAATATCTCTCAACATTGTACTTGTACCTCCCCTTCGACCTAATGCAATCCATTCTCACATTATTCTAACAGGCACATGGGTCTTGTGGTGCTGGAGCGTAGTTATAGCTCTATGGCGTTTGATGATGGCACTTGGGTCTTTCTTCTTTGCTGCTTTGCTGGTTGGAGTTTCACGTATGCTTGAGAAATCCCGAAGCGAACATTTGAGGTTGGGATTTCCAACCTCGAATTTCACATTTCATATTGGGTTATTGGCTTAAGTTACAGTTTTGCCAGTTTTCAAACTCTCTTGTGGCAAGTTCGCCTTTGCCTGGTTACAGTTGGAAAGCCGCCTTCTAGCTGCATTGGCACGCTGCCATCTTGCGGCGCTGGTAAGACACCTTTGTGCTGTGCTGGAGGTCGACTTGCTGGTTGCTAGGCTGCCTGTGCATTCTCATGTATTGCATTGCCAAAGCATTTTTGTCATTCAGTAATCCCCTTCTGCTATTGAATATATCGCAATTTTCCTTTGTGAACACAGAAGTAGTGAGAACACGAGCAAAGCTACAATCATACGTACAACCTCGTGCCTTCCCATGTAGTCCAGTCTACCTGTTGTAGAGCGACTCTCCGCAAAGCGGAGGAGGAGAAGGAGGAGGAGGAGGAGGAGGAGGGGGAGGAGGAGGGGGAGGAGGAGGGGGAGGAGGAGGGGGAGGAGGAGGAGGAGGAGGAGGAGGAGGATGAGGACGAGGAGGAGGAGGAGGAGGACGACGAGGAGGAGGAGGACGAGGAGGAGGAGGAGAAGAAGAAAGAGAAGGGAGGAGAAGGGAGGAGAAAGGGGGAGAAGAAGTGAGAGGAGAAAGAGGAGTAGGGGGATAAGGAGGAGAAGAAGCAGGAGGAGAAAGAGAAGATGGAGAAGAAAGAGAAGAAGTAGAAGAAGGAAACCTCCTACTATCAAAGTAACGAACGAGAATGAATCAACTATGAAACAGTTGGGTACAAGTACTAACCCTAATTGGGTTGTACCCCTTATGGGCTACCCCACTATAGCCTACACAATTGTAAAAGCTATAATGTTCTGACACACCCCCATATGCAAAGTGGGGGAGAACAATTGGTCACAAGACCAGTCAAGAAAAGCAAAGCAAGCTCAGGGTGGATCACAAAGTCACCACACAGTCCGAGCACAAGCAAAGGGCCACAAGGCCAGTTCACATGCAGAGTTATATAAAAGAGAACAAACAATACAGTGATCATACCCTAGCAAGTGTAAGCATGAAGGTATATATATATATCACAGTACAAGCAAGTCAAGCAGTGAGCAATTGAGGCAAAGTAGGCACAAGGCCTAACTGTTATAGTCTAGAGTCCACTTAGGGGTCGCGGATGCCCTTGAAACCGCCTAAGCAGAATCTGATGACTTCGAACCGCCTCTGTTCAAAACGCCGTCACGATAAGCTCCGATATGATACGAGGCTGAAACTTGGAGGAAAGTTAGCTTCAGATGTCTGCTTTCCAACGGTGTATTGCTTTCTTTCATCTGAGGTGTATGCGCTACGCAGTGAACGAAATTGTAAGCTTGGCTGAAAAACGTATAGTTTCATTGATGCAAGGAAGAGGTTAGTACAACATTGCCTAGGGGAATCGTAAGGGGTTGGGACCATCCTGGGAACTCAGAGAAGGTTGAGTCCTAGGGGAAAGGAGGGTGGTAGAGTCTCACTTGAACTCCTGTAATTCTTGTCTCATTCTCTGTCCCTGCACCATTGGCATGACAACGATGAAAGGGTGGCAAGGGAAATGCTGCCAACAGTGCACCATGACTACGGAACAGTAACTTTCGACAGCTGTCACGTGCTGCTCCAATTCTGGGTTGTCCTGAAACTCGGTGAAAACCTGCACAACACGGCAAAGGACTGCCACACCGAATTTCAGACCAATCAGAGCTTTGTGGATGAGTCAACAGCCGAAATGGTGAACTCGGGTGTTACCAAAAAAGAGTAACACACACTTCCGAGATGCCATAAGTCTTGAAACTAAAAATGTTGCCATGCCTTGTAAACTGCTTAAAAAATTCTGAAACTTTGAGGGTCTGAAGAACACATGTTGAAGCACCTCCCCACAAAATTCCAGAAGCTGAAAAGGCTGGTAGGCGGAATGGGAGTGCAATGACCGTGGCACTATAGTGCTTTGGCACAACAAACTCCCCCTCATCGTGCTTTCATTCATCCCTTAGCTGCTCCCTGAAAATGCCTCCCTTAGTTGAAGGACATGCCACACAAGGTGGCACAGCTCCAATGCCGATGCTCTGCAAGCCGCTTAGTCAAGAAATCTGCAGGTTGCTTGGTAGTGTTGATGTAGTGCAAGGAGATGGTGCCCTTCTTCACCTCCTTCCTCACCCAATGCCACTTGATATGCATGTGCTTGTTCAGCCCATGGAGCACAGCATTACGTGCCATTGCAATTGCTCCTTGGCTGTCACAAAACAGAGGTGTAGGACCCTCTTGCTCCTGCCCCAACTCCTCAAGCAACCTCCTCATCCAAACCACCTCCTTCACTCCATGAAACAACGCCATATACTCGCTCTCCGTTGATGAGTGAGCTATCTCTCCTTACTTCTTAGACTTCCAGCTCACTGGACTCCCTCCAACACAGCATATATAGCCACCATGGGATGTAGCATCACTGATGTCACTTGCCCAGGTAGCATCGGTGAAACACGAGAGGTACAAATGCCCACGCCTTGCAGGTGCACCAGTCTTTGTGCTCACCTCCTCCACTCCCTTTTGCTTCAGCTGCCCATGCACTGAATATTGCAGCCCCACCCTTGAGGTTGCCATGCAGTACCTCACCAGCCTCTCTGCTGCATCCAGGTGCTCTTGAAGGGGCCTAGACACCACACGAGCGAGTTGTGAAATTGAAAACGCAATGTCGGGGCGAGTGTTGACCGAAGCGTACATCAAGCTCCCCACCATTGACTGGAACCGACGCTGCAACTCGTAATCCAACACCTCACCCTCCTCTTCATCAAGGTGCAGCTGAAACCCTGAGGGTAGAGGAGTCATCACACTCCTCCCTTCCTCCAGCCCATACTTCTCCCCCATCGCTGCAAGGTACTTGTGTTGGTGAAGCCTCAACCATCCCTTCACCTCGTCCCGCTCCACGTGAAGACCAAGGTAATACCCCACTGGTCCAAGAGCCTTGCATTGAAAGGTCTCCTTCAGCTTCCCTTGCACCTTCTTGATCCTCTCTAGGGATGGAGAGAAGAGGAGGATGTCATCGACGTAGACAAGGAGAAATACCTTCTCCTCCCCCCCCTCGGTCATGAAGAGACTCTCGTCGCACCCGCTAACTTTGAAGCCAAGAGCCTCCAACGCCTCCACCAGCCTTGCATACCAGCACCTTGGAGCTTGTTTGAGGCCATAGATGGCCTTGTTGAGCCTGCAAACACGTCCGCTCCCATCATCATACCCCTCTGGCTGCTTCATGTAGATCTCCTCATCTACCACGCCATAGAGGAACGTCGTTTTCACATCCATTTGCTCCACCTTCCAGCCACAAACGGCAGCTCCTGCTAGCAACAACCGGAGCGTAGGAGCCTTGGCAACATGAGCAAATACCTCTTGAAAGTCGATCCCCTCCCTCTGCTGAAAGCCTTTGATCACAAGCCTTGTCTTGCGCCTCTCCAACCTCCCTTCCGCATCGGTCTTCACACGTAACACCCACGTGCAGTCCAATGCCTTCCTTCCTGGGGGCAGATTGGTAAGGGTCCACGTTTCATTCTCCATGTGGCTCTGGAACTCATCCTCCCTTGAAGCCAACCAAGCCTCTCGATCATCTCCAGCGAGAGCTTCCTCCATTGACGCCGGCTCATGAGGTAAGTTGATGCCAAAGCAACAAATCTGCTCCATCTCCCCCTCGGCTCCCTTCTCCTCCTCATCTTCCTCCTCCTGGACCAGCAATGCCTTGGGAACCCCAAGCCTTTCATACTTGAGGAAATCCCTTGGGTGGGCAGCTCTCTTGGGCCTCTCTTTGGCTGCTTCTTCCTTGGCTCCACCACGGACAACATCACGCTTCCCTTGGGTTGTGCGCCTTGGTGGAAGCTTAGGGATGGTGTAGGCTGCTGCACCTCCTCCTCGGTATCACCTCTCTCAGCTACAGGGGCCTCCCCTTGCTGCAGTACTTCTTCCACATCTGCTGCCTCCCCTTCAGCACCTCCCAAGTCACATGACACCTCTGTCAACTCTGAAGATGAGGAGAACTCGATGGGAATGAGAAGTGGGTCGTTCGTTCCCACCTCTATTCCAAGCGGAATGGTGACCTTGCTCCTCCCCCGCTCCGACCACTCCTTGAACATGAGCCCCTCCATGAACTTGGCATCTCTGGTGGTGAAGATGGTGTTGGAATTTGGGTCCCACATGAGCCAGCCCTTGCTCCCTCGTGCAAGACCCAAATGAACAGCCCACACCGCCGCCGCTTGAAGCTTGTCACGCCTCTCCTTAGGGACATGCACGAGCCCCATGCACCCGAAGACACGAAGCATATCAACCAGGGGCTCCTTGCCACTCCACTTCTCCATAGGGACCCAATGCTGACCTCCCACATGAGTCAACACCCGGTTCTTGATGACGGTAGCATGACGAATAGCGAGGGGCCAGAACCGCAAGGGTAGACCCGAGTCCACCAATATTGTTCTCCCGCCCTCTATGATGGTCCGGTTCGCTCTCTCTGCCACGCCGTTGGACTGAGGGGTGTACGCCGTGGTGAGCTGCTGCTTGATGCCATGCCGCTTCAACCAGCTCCGGAACTCCGCTCCGAAAAACTCCCCACCACGGTCGCTACGAATCGCCTTCACCCGCTTGCCACTCTCTCGCTCCACCATGGGCAGCCACTCTTCAATGATGACCCTTGCAGCATCACTCTTCTTAGCAAGTGGAAACGACCAGGTGAGCCTTGTGTAATCATCCACCATAGTCATGGAATACAGGGCCCCACCATCTCCCTTCACCTTAATAGGCCCCACAAGATCCACATGCACGAGCTCCACCGGGTCACTTGACTGCCCCACCGTCGAATGGAAGGGAAACCGTGAAAACTTGCTGGTCAAGCAAGTCTCACATGAGCCCACCTCCTTGGGCTCCCCTTTTATCCTCAGCCCCTTGACTCTTTCCTCCTTAAACAGCTGCTGTAACTGAGGTAGCGCCACATGGCCAAAGCGACGGTGTGCGGTGAGCCAATCCGTCTCACCCGTGCTATGAGTTACACTTGGTAGCGCACCCCCCCCATGCACAAGCAGCCCACCATCACTGCCATCACCACCTCCTCCACTGGTTACGTGGCTTGCATGCCCTCCTCTTACAGCTTCAGCAGCCAAGCGCGCAGCCGCCTCCTTCCATGGCAGCACTGGTATCTCCCACATGGACCGGTGCATGTCCTTGCCGCCTCGGAGGTCCCACAACACGCGCCCATCCAGAGTTGCCTTGAACACCTTTGTGCCCATCATCTCCATCTTCATCCCTGCCTCACTCAATGCCTTGGTAGAGAGAAGGTTGGCACATAGTCCAGGGACAAGGAGAACACGCTTCAGCCCCACAAGCCTCCCAACCGCACCCATAAACATGGCTCTCCCCTCGCCACGCACGGGTACAACTTGGCCGGTGGCTGAAACAACGGTGGCTGCCTTTGATGGCCTGACTTCATCCAGCAGATCCTCTCGGTTGGTCATGGTCATGAAGGCTCCCGTCTCGATGACCCAATGGGAGGAGCGGTGAAGAGCAACCTTGCTGGCCGGTACAACCATGTCCTCGGAGCATGCCTCTCCTACATGGTAGAACATGCCGCCATGTCCGCCAGCAC